CAGGACCGGTAAACTAATGAACAAATTTAAACGAATATGTTCTTTACACGATGAAATGAGAAGTGGGCTGTTGCGAGTTAAATCATCAATGAAAATTCATGCACGTCGCTTCAATCTCCCAAAGACATCGGTGAGCAGAATTTTGAAACCTAATTTGCGTAAAAAGAGATTTTACATGATTTATATGAATAAGATTTTCCTGTAAGGAGTGCAACGTGTGCTGATTTGCTAGAATTCTTCCGCAGCGACAACTTAATGGAGAACATCTTTTTCAGTGATGAAGCTGATAACTATTACTACACGCTGTTTCCATCTACAAAAAAAAGGCTGTATAAATTAAACAATTTTCATTAAAATAGTACCTGACTTTTGGTCCACCCTGCATATAGCTTCAATATATGTTGGGCTTTAACTTTTCACTACGAACATTTTAATACACCTCTGCTGAGCCAGTGAGCTGGCGCAGTAAAAATTCTATAATTTCGTCAATTCTAAGAATTGTAGCATCGCCCATGAATTAAAAAGTTTTTCAAATACTAATCGAAAATATGATTTTTTGAAAATTTCAAACAGACGTAATCCCTTAAATGCAAGAATAAGGTTATATTAAAAGTAAAAAGTGGATCTTAATAAAATTCTACATAGTAATATTCTTGTAGATACGAATTGGACTGACAGTACAGTAGAAGTAACATAGGGGTAGGAACAGCTTGTGAACAGTGAACATAACGTTAGTTTAAGCATTCAGATAATTTTTCAACAAAGAAAAATTCAACAATGATAAAACTGGATTTAAGGGATTTATTTCCAATATTGAAATTTTCATAATAGGCAAAATACACTTGCAATTCGTTGGCAGAAATGTACCGAATCTGCTGCAGCTTACTATTGTTTAACAAAAATGAATTTAGACTACGATATTGCTGTTTAAAGTTTTATTCACCAATTCGCCATTTCTTCGTGATACCTAAGTACACGGATGCAACGAAATCGCTCCTAACAGAAATCAGTATAATAGTACCGAAAAAAGTTCTATCACCTGGGGCAAGGTCAAAAAAGCTAGACTCGGTTGACCGTTTAGTTACGGTTTACCCCCAGACGGACACCATCCCCTTCCAACATATTTACGCGTGGATATATATTTTATATTCCGTCGTTTCCTTTTTATTTTCGATGAGTTTGGGTTCTCGAGGGGGTTCGAGCACCTGTTTGTATTTCTGCTGTGCCGACACATAAATCATCCGGGAATGGACTAACGTCTTTTATCACTGCTATCCTTCTCCGACTTCTTCTCTCTCTCTCTCTCTCTCTCTGTATCGGAACCAGGTTTAGTCCGTGTGCACGTGTGCATGTGTGCGTCGGTCCTCGAATATACATCGACCGGGTCCTATATAGTCGGTCGACCCGTATACGCCCACGCCTAAGATGAATATGAATTTTTCGTTTCAGGACCCAGGAAAACTGTCAAACGGGTTTTCGGCCCAATCCTCCGCCTTTTTATTGCTACCCTAGCGGTGTGCACGCATCCGTGAAATCCAGTGTTTCTTGAATTATGCCCCGGCAGCGAGGGAAAGGGATCGACGAAAATGGGAGCCGGTACTTTTGGATTAGGTCCACTCACAGGCGATCTTTCGAATATGAACTGGAGTTCGGTAACGAGACTTTGATCACTGCTTATTTTAGCACGATTGTTGGTTCGAGGAAGTCTGAATATGCTGTAGTTTTTGATACGTAAGGGTGGAAGTGGAATGATTTAGCGAGTGTTGTTATAGAGGTGATCGGTAATAGGTGAGCTTCCAACTTTTAGTAAAAGTTATTCTTAATATGTGAAGTGTTTATTGGGAACGCTGGAATACTTCATTCGGTGAATGTTGGTATAGAGATGATCTACGTGTAAGTGAGCTTTTAACACTTTGGATCTTCTTTGAAATTTTTTAAAACTAACGTGGAAATAAACTACAGTAGAGCGTCGATTATCCGAACCATCGATTCGAGGGGTAAACAAACCTATGGTGTACCGGTACAATAAATGTATATTGTTACTTCAAAGCATTTTTCTTCAATATGTTCATCAATAAGTAATTTTTAGGCTTCATTCCTATAGATATAAACTGGGCAAGTACATGCATGTGTTTCATTAAGTGCACTGTTTGATTATCCGAACCACCTCAGTCCCAATTGGTTCAGGTAACTGACGCTCTACTGTATACTATTTTATTTAAACGTTCAATGCATTCTCTATTTCACTATGGTGAACAAATTTATGCAGGCTCGTAGATCTGATCTCTGTCTTGATTAATTATTTACCAAGTGGCAATTGTTTAATGTCGCCACTCGATTGCAAAGGGTCAATTTTCAGTAAAAATCATTCCTAATATGTGGAAATGCAATTACGATTAGTAAACACAAAGATCGCGAAAATATTGTATTCACTTTATTAAATTTCCTATCAATTTGGAATCAGCACTGCAGCAATTAATAACCATTTACTTTATTTCCGTTTCCCTCGATGGTAATAATAAAAAGAATTGTTCAAATGCACTGAACTAAAGATTCGAATAATTTTCTGTCATTTCGTATTCGAGAAGAAAGAAGTTCTTCGACGAGGTATGGTTGGTATACCTACGTAAAAAGGACGACGAAAGCCGAGACTTTCATTCTTGAAACGTTTTTGATCAATGAGAACTTTTCTCGCAGTCATTGTATCAGAATCATTCGTGAAGTCGAGGAAGACTCGCACCATTCTGACTTTCATTATAGATCTCCCTGAGAATAAAAACCTACGTCGCCTATTATCTCCCTCGTGAATGTCACTTCACGACAACGGAAAACTCTTGCATTCCTGGATGATAGAAATTTCCTCGGGTGTGAAGTACGATTGAAAGCGAAAAAAGGAGAGGCGGAACACCTGCTGTGAAACCGTATGCAGATGTATTCCGTGTTTCATATTCAAAAGGGAATCCGTGGATCGATTTTACGGTGTTGTTAGACAATACAAGGTAGAAACTGGTAAACAAAGACACCTTTCGTGCTACTTAAGAAGCTTGCCAAGTCAAACTTCCTAGACTTTACTCTAAATTAACCGCGGAGTGTGTTCTTGCAATTTGCAATTTACAAGAAAGGAATAAGTAAAATAGAAGAATGCACAACGTTAATTATGCTACTTAGGTTCTCGTTACATTTTGAACTATTTCATGTTTAAATTCGAAAATTTTTAAATTTCAGTATTAAGGATTCATTGGTGGTTAATATTTTAGTGTTTACTTGTGTTTTATATTCCACACCATATTACATTTTATGTTCTTACTCGTACTCTGCATCATCCCCTTTCACTCAATTTGTCATTTCCTGTTTCTTTCTTTGAACAGTCATATTGTCGAAACATTTGCAATGTGCAACATCTTGTTGCACAAATTTGAATTCTCTCTGCTCATTTGTTTATTCAAGTTTCCGTTGCAACTGCGCTGGAACAGTAACTCGTATTTACTCGTTCACTCGCCACATTCATGGTACACTCGCTTGAATAATCAAGGAACACAGTGGAAAAGGGGCACGTGCCATGTCAAAACAACTTAGCGCCTATTCCATCAACTTCTTGAAAATTTCTCGAGAAAATTATTTTTCCTGTAAATTTATAGCAGGCACCTATTGTGGCATGCGCTTCTTTTCCACTAGGTCCCCCAATTTTCACCAAATTAGCAAAGAACACATAGATCAACCAACAGTTTGAAACACTACAGAAACAAAGTCCTACAATAGTTATCATTTCTATATTTGCAATATGTAAAAACATCAACAAAATAGTCTAATCTTCCATCTTCCATACATTCCTACTCCTTTCTTTCACTTTTCATCGAACCACCTTCAAACTTAGTCCGTGATACTTTTTCATTCGTTTTTAACACAAAGTTGCCAGACACAATTTAGTTAAAGAAGAGAAACAACAGGTAGTGTTGGTGTTCTAGTTTATGTTGCGATAAGAAAATTAATGAGTTGAAGTTAGTGTGATGGAACGAGAGAGCATTGCTTGTGTAACTTTTCCTGCTGTGGACAATTGTTTGTTTACATATTATGTAATGACACTTTAACAAGACTTAATCTTAAAATTATCATACAGAAAGGCATCAGTGCTATTTTAACTAACAGAGTGACTAAATTCTTATTTTCTTTGTGGCTGAGCGTGCGTTTTCTATTGCACTGTATGGGAAAACCCAAAGATAAATAGCAAAAAGAATATTTCCTTATGTCTCAGACATCTCATATCGTGAAACTATTAACTATCGACAAAACGAGTTTTTATTTTTGGACGATAACACGTTTTTAGTGTATTGTCAGCGGTGAAGCTCTTCGTACATCAGCATCAAGTTGTCACATTTTTTCGCAACGATACTAGAGCAAAAGGGTAAAAGCAGTTCGTCAACTTTGGATGCAAAAATAACTGTAACAATAAATAAGTAACTGGCGAACATATCACGCACTAACAAGAATTATCAAGGAGTTAGCAGAGTATATTTCGTGAAAATTCAATGTTGTAATTAATTAAATACACTTAATAAAACTCTGTTAACCTCTTATTCGTTTCTACGTCTGATCTACCATTATATCCTTGACTCACTTTCGGAACCTGTGAATATTAGCAGTTAATAGGAAAATTCTAGAACTATGGCGAATTTATCCTACACACCGGAAGAGTTCACTTCTACCTATACAAAATTCTCTCACTACCAAAGCAACCAGTAAGAACTGAAATTCTCCTCATTTATCCCGACCGACCTAACATTTTCGAGACAAATGCGCGTTATACGTTACTTATGCGACGCGGTACTCCCTATTTATTAAGATCATCGTAGTCGCGCGTGCACAGGATCGTGAAGTGCACGCGTGCAACCGCAACAACACGCGTGTGTTGGCTGTGTGGATGCGTTTCACGCGTGCAGGAACGAGCACCAGGGGCCGGGGTCCTCGCGATCAGCAGGGAACGGGCCATTAGTAACGCTTACCCGGCATAAAGCGAGAAAAATGGCGGTCGAATTATTCCGCTGGTGGGAGCGAGGCTGGACAAAGGTCCTGCCTAGCGAGGACACGCGGAGGATCCTTGAAAAAGGAGCCACGGGGTTCCAATGGTGCCGATCCTGCCGAAGGAGACAACGCAACCGCCGTGCCGGCTCTCTTCTGGCGCATTAATCGATACGATCGAGAATCCCGTTCGCGATCTTACTTATTTGTCCTTCTGTCTGCGCTGGGGTGAAATTATGGTTGTCCGAAGGGATACAGTCAGTGATGGACTTTGAAACACTTTGATTTGCTTCGAAGATGATAGGATACTTGAAACACTTGAAAGTCTGGTTAAGTCTTGAATCTTGAGTCTCGATAGATCTTGAAAGTCCCGATAAGTTTCAAAGTTCGATAGAACTTGAAAGCTTGGTGAGCATTTGAATGCCTTTGTCTATTTTTGACATTAAATATTGAAGATATTGAATACTCACATGTAATATACTTGAATACTTACCAAGCTTCCAAGACTTTCAAGATCTATCGGAACTTTAAAAATTCAAGGCCCATTAAGACTCAAGATTCAGGACTTTCAAGAGTTCTAAGTATCAAACTATTTAGGATCGAAGTGATTGGAATTTTCACAGTATTACAAAACATCCAATCACTTAGAAATTGAGATTCATGTCCTCGTCGCTAGAAACAGTGAGAATTATTATAGTGCTTTGTGTTGGATGAGACAGAATCAGTTTGCGAATTCTTAATTGATGTCAATTAAGCTGAGTTGATTTCAATTTCAGCTGAGGATTTTTGTACTGAAACACAGATTTTGGTTTTGTGTGAAATGATACTGTACGGTGAAAGAATTGAAAGGTTTGTTTAAATTTATAAAAAATTTAAGGTCAGATTAGGTTGGGTTGTAATATATAAGGGACATTTTCCCCCTGAAGAACGAAAGAGTAGCAAGCAACAAAAATTACGCGATACTTCTACTGACATTCCCTATAAACTTGAAAAGTTTTAAAAATATTGTAATTTTCAGATTACCGACGAGTTCCCTTGTCAGCATAAATGAATATTTTGAATATTCATAGTATAATATTCATATTCGCAATATTTAAAATATTAAAAATTTCATGAATATTTTTGCCTGCACAGTGGTTGTCCCATTCATGTCCGAATATTCTTCGAAGTATCCATACCTACTCCAACACCTTCTCCTACATGCGAAACAACGAGTCGACCTTAGAAGCATCCCTGAACCTGCAAACAATCTACCGCTCACAACAGCCCCAACCCCCGTGCTGCTTCCACTTGAATCAAACCAGTGGAAGGTCGAAAGTTCGAGCGCTTCTCCGTTATTGGTGATTGAATTAACGTCGGAGGGTGGCCAGAGTGGGTGGGGCAAGACTTTTGAACTTTCCGGTCGAGGAGAAAAATTTCGCGAAAGCTGGGAATCTCTTTACTGTCTGAAAGTACTTACTTTGTCGTGTCAAAGGAGCGACAAGGTGATACAGCGCGCAGAAGTGAACCGAGAACGAAGAGGGGGAGAGAGAATGAGAGAGAGAGTGAGCAGCAGCGAGGAGAGAAGAGGGACAAGGGGGTGGGTTTCGTTAGGTAGGGCGCAGTTTTGATGATAACGAGCGGATTTGCAATCACGACTACATTGTGCAGGATCCTGCTGTTAGCTAACTTGAAGAGGGATGAAACTCAGACGGGCTGAGATCACAGAGCAGGAAGCTGAGAGCGCGACGTAGACGGAGGATGAGGGAAAACGCGTTGGGGAAGCTTGCTCGTATACTGTCGCGCGTACCACCCCCTCGCTTCTTCCCACCCTGTTCTTCAGTTCCCCTCTGCCACACTTCCAGGGAACGCTGGAAAGTGGAAATCCCGAAATTACAGGACTACACCGTAGACATTGCAGCCGCCCTGTATATATACCTCCCCACCCGTGCATAAATATCTCGCGAAATTTCCGGTTGTAAGGCAATTCCTCGAATCTGGCGCAGACGCACAGCCCTCCTCGAGACTACGCTAACGAAGGTTAACGATACGTCTGGCTAATGAACCCAGCCGCGGTATTCGAAGATATTCGTTTTATGAAATCTGTATTTATGGCTTCCTTTTTTCCTTATTGTTCAAACCGAAAGGGATAAGCTGTCGTGATATATATATATATTTTTTTTTTCTTCTAGTAACTTCTTGCCACTGTGCGTTTGTGCTTAACCCTTTCGCTACGGCACCGTTGAGACAAAAAGTGCTCGCTGGACGAAAGAATTAGATATTAGATTCAACGCTGGCGTAAATCTACGCTGTTTTATGATAGTTAAATACTTGATGCATTCTGGCGTTGTCGGACTTCCGGCCGACAGCAGTGGGTTATTTGTGAAGTGCTAAAATAAGTTAGTAAATTACATGTACCTATTGGATGTATGTGTATATTAAGTACGCTCTTCGTAAATGAGTGACCACTTTTACAGAGTGTACATATATGTATATACCCTTCGTGGAGAAAGGGTTAAGGTGTTAGACTGCTTTGACCTGTCTGAAAAGTACCGCTTCTTTGAGAATTTATTTTGAACCAACAACCTTTCTTGAAAACAATTTCTCGTCAATGGTAGATACATATTTAAATAATACACTGTGCTCCGTCGAACAACGCGGTTCCGATAATATACCGATATCAATTTACACATTTGGCATACATTTACAATTTTCTTCATCGCGGCGAATGACAAAGGTGAGAAAGAGTGAATGCGAATTCACCGAATTAAAATACGCCGTAATTTCTTCCAACACCTTTTTTTCTCTGTTACGATATTCTACATCTCTGTATTCCACAACACTGATTGTTCTTCTTAAAGAGTGATTAAATCGGTAATTTCATTTCTCGACTAATTTTTTTTCCTGACATTTTTCACTCGCACGAGAGTTCTGTCAAGAAACTGCTTCGTGTTTGCAAAGCAACTGTTTATTCGAGTCGTAACTCTCAGAGTTGAGCGATGCTCTCAGACAGTCACTCTCAGACGCGAGAGATACTCTCGAGAGCAACTCGCGATAGTTTTACCCTCAAAAGGACAGCTAGGTTTATGTTTGGCTTGATGTACGTTCAGCGACCGAGGCTCGCGTTTCTTATGTTTGGCACGCAAGAAATATCACGAGTTCTAAGAAGTTAAGGCCTAGAATTTTTCTCAGAACAGTTGCGAGCGTACAGCGATAAGAAATCGGGCAGGACGACTCGTCCTCAGTCGGTGTTTACGAGGCTGTCGAACGAGTGAACGCGTTTTCGATTATACGCGGATTTCCAATCAATTTACGTACTTAGCATATTCGTTCGTGTGAATTAAGTGCCGCTGCATACAAGAAGCTAGTGCACCGAATTCAAGTACACAACGAACAGCTCAGCTTGTGAGAAAAATCAAACGAGAAGCGTGCCTCTGCGAGCTACACAGCTACAGCTTCACGGTATGTGTATGCGTGAATAATATGTATGTATATATACGTACACAATCGAATGATTGAGTTAATTGAAAATAGAGGAGAGCCTACGTATAGCTAATTAGATTAATTACTGCAGCAATTTCGTTTTATCGTATCCTAAACAACAACAAATCAGTTTCTCACTGTTTTTTCCCCGAGACTTATACATGCTCTATCCTTTTCTACGGAAACATTGTTTATCAATAGGACTTTGAACATGGCATACTTCGTTTGTTATTATTTTAACCACAATATATGGGAATTGAAAATATTGAGGAGGTTTAAGAATTATGAAACTCAGTGCATATAATATGTACATGCACATGCTTTGGAAGTATATAAATGTACTTCAGTTTCTCGTGAAGGCGGGGGGTGGTTCGCATCTACGTCGGCGTCCCTAATCCCCGCGTTGCTCGAAGGACCACTGTACCTAAATTTTTTTTAGCTCTTTTTCAAAACAAAACGTTGGAATAGAAAGCAAGCCTCGAGGTGTATCGCTGGATAGTGTATACATTCCTCATTCACGATGACCAGGTTCCTGAAACCAAATTTGCCTATGAAATATTAAAATTAAGTAGTAAAATTATTTTGTTTAATTGGTAAATAAGAAAATAGCAGCATTTCAAGGAAAATTTCGTTTCTCACGTGGAAGTGTAGCTACTTATTTATTTATAACTAAAATTGAAAATTCGGAAAAATTCTGCGTCGGACAATTTAGTATACATTTAACAATATGTCTGTGAAATTTGCTAAAAATCGATTGAATTTTACTCAAGTTACAGCGTGCATCTAAAATTTCATATAAAATATACTTTTCATATCGTCACAACTGAAAGCAATATTTTAGTCGAGACACCCTGTATACCGATTTTCCAGAAAACACTACTTTTAGGTCGAGGCCAGGTTTATCAGCGTTCTCTTACAATGCCAAGTGTTTCGGGCACGTATAGCGGTGAACGAAAGTCGGTTGCCCTGTGGTCGGATTTTGACAAGAGTTTGCGTGTTTGCACAGCAGGCGGTTCACCGCGAGTGACATGTCAGACTGCTTTCTCGAATTTGTATTCTTTTATGGAAGTATCGAGGGTTGTACGACAATGGGCAAGCCACCGACGTAATATATATCAACGATGCCCGCTTTCGAACTTGAACGCGCCTCCGGGCCACTTTTATCATGATAATGTCGCGTGTACGCCGGGAAATTCCTCGGGAAAATGTTTGGAGAGAAACCGCGAGTCTGGAACCATCTCGAGCGTGTTAAATGTTCGGTGAAAGAAGACGAGACGTAGGTAACACGGGAGAAAAGGGACATCTTTTCAGGCTCGATTTACATTTTTCCATTTCCCACGATTCTCACCTTTTCCTTTTGTTGTACGTGTGTCTTTTACATTACTAATTGCAAGTTACCCTCGTATAACACGGTAAGTTAGGTTTCTGTCAAATTCCGTGTTAAATCGTGTTAAATAGAACTAAACTTCTGGTAATGTAAATCAGTTACAGAAAATTCTGTTAAATGTATAACATGAAACTGTATTAAAATGAAACGAATTAGACACTTGAAATTAAATTAACATTTACTCGTACGCTTCACTTGTGTCGAACACTTTAACAATACTCAAATATATAGCTATTTCCAAAAATATTCGGACGCTAACAAAAGAACCATTAAAGCACTGCGAAAGAAAAAATTCATAACACGAATTTAAATATTCAAAATCAAATTTGTAAAATATATTCCGCTTTAAATATTCAATTGGTGCGTTGAGCTAAAATTATATCATGGCTTTGTAAACTAATTAAGTACACTCTAATTAAGGATAAAGCCATTATATCTAATTTTAAAACCTAATAGATAACTTACGCGATTATTCCTTAGAGAACGGAATATTTTATCTCTTATTTCGTCAAATTACCTATTCATTTTCTTTTAATATCCAACGCTTTCTAAATTTAAATATTTCATAAATTTCGTACGCGAAATGTGAACTCTGATTTTTACGTCCACAATTTACATACTAATACTTCAAACAGCTAGTCATCACTTCTTCGAAAACAATTAATAAAGTGACGTAAATCCGATCGATTAAAATTTTTTTTCAATCACGATAATGACGTTGGTGAATACTTAGTTTATTTAGTCGTGTCGCACGTAAAAGGTGACAAATTGTATACCATTGCACAACGCAGTGGGTTGTTATCAAGAGAAACAGTGAAAGACGCAAAGCAATGAGTACACAGGTGCGGGAAATCGAATTTTAATCAAAATCTTCGACGCATTTGCTTTCGTTTCTCAGTTACCGACACATCAATGGATAATTTACGCACACAGCGGAATTCGCTCTGACGTGTTTTTCTTATAAATGCATAATATATTAATATCCTAATCAATGAGACGATTCTTTTCTTATTTTCTTCATCGACGAGAAAAGTAACATTAGTTACGAATATTGTCATTTTTATGACGTACGTGTATCAGAAGAAGTAACGAATTCCAAAAGGGATCAATTATTTCACATTCAAAGTGTCCCTGCTTTAAATTGGAAATTGAAATTTATTAAAACAGAAATTCGATATTATCCCCTCGATAGTAGAATGGTACTCAAAATATCCATTTCACCAAGCAAACATTTATCACTTAATTATCATTAAGTACATTCATAGGCAAATAATCCTGCAATATACCACACTGAAGCTATTCCCAATTTAACACCTTGAAATTTTTTATATTTAATATCGGACAGTATATTCGAAGAAGATCTATGTTAGAAATTCCAATACCGAAGAGTAACGTTGAAAAAACTAACACGAACTTTTATCAACGAACGTTAATCTTTTCATTCAGAGGTTAAGAACTTTCGTCGGACTCGATTTCTTTGTACCGCTGAAAGATTCAAGGTAAACGACGCGGCACAATGCGTGAATTGTTCAAAACAAGGTCAACGGAACGTCAAAATCGGAGGCCCGTCGAATGATTGATCTTCAAGAAAGAAAATCACGGTATAATAAAGGAACGGTTTTGATAGCGGATGCCGATGATCCTTACTCACCTGCAATAGCACAGGTCATTTCGTCATCGTGTGGGAATGTCGTGAGTTTTCTTAGTGTATCCCTGGAGATGTGTCACGTTCAACGGGAAAAGGTCTGTAATGTTTTCATAACTCCAAACAACTTTCTTAGAGTCACTATGGCGGATCAAAGTGATTTCTGTCTGGTTAGAAAGAACTTCGATGAAATTTTCATTTAATACTTCTGCATACAACTCGCGTTCATAAGTACTAGGTTGATACGAATGAAACGTGTTCTCTATTTTCACTTTCCCGCTACTATATATTAAATTTTATCCGATCGTAAATTTTTCCACGTGATACAATGCAACACAACTTTCTGTACTTTCTGTACCTCTTTGTCTTTCGTTTCATTTCTTTTTCATCCTCTTTTTGTACAGCTGCGTTACCGATATCGTAAGGATTCCATCACATATAATATTGATACATTGTGCATGTAATGGAAATTTATTTCCGTCAAACAAACAAATTAAATTTCAGTTGCATCGGGTAATCAGATTAGAAATCCTGACTATCGGCGATTTCAAATTACCTCACATTAATTGGTTTTTTGCCATTTTCTTCAGTTTTTGCCGCCAAATTTACTTGTGAACAACTCTACTTACTCAATGTCACCTAATATTTTCAGACCAGTATTATAACTACCAAAATTTACTATAACATAAATCTATTATTAATTTACATGGCAGTATGTTAGATCTTATATTTTGTACCCACGTTCTTGTTTCTTGTACTTTAACTATTTTCTTCGTGTACAATTGTGTTACCGGCATCGTAAGGATACTCATCACATGTAGTATTTGTAATGGAAATTTATTTCCGTCAGTCAATTTAAATAAATAAATAAATAATAGTTACGATAAAGTAATTTGCTATTACACGTGTAATAAATAGTAAAGAAATTCGTGAAAGAATTGCTTGGACACTATTGTCTGGCTGATGAACAATCAGGATAAGTTTGAACTTGGAAGTATTGCGGTAAACTCTGCAGAAAATATAAATTTAGCATTTAAGGAAGGAATGTCAACGTTTGCATGCGAAATTCAAGATCGATGACTTTTTAAAATGAGTGAAGAGGAAGACCAGTTAACGTTTTCAAAGAAATTATTGAAAACAGTCGACGAATATGAAATTTCACTACGTCCTCCCCTATTCGCCTGACCCTTCCTCGTCAGACTACCACTTTCTCAAACAGCTGAACAATCTTTTAACAAATAAATTATTCCGGAATGAAGAAACTGTGAAAACAGCATTCGAGAAATTTTTTTTTCATTTGGAATGGTGAAATAAGTTAATCGTTGAGAAATTTATAATAAATAGTAAATTTTTGCTACCTAAAAACTCTGAATACAATCATGTTACATCTTCGTACTCGAATTAAATAAGTACCTACGTTTTTATTCGAAATAAAAATTGTTAACTGGAGCAGTAAAGCACGTATAACGGTAAATAAAGGCGAATACGGAACAGAATAACAGGACTGAATGAAAATAAAAAATTGTGAATTGTAATTAGAATTTGAATAAACAGATTGTATTTCAATTCTGAAAACGTCGCAATTCAGTGAAGTTCATTTTTAAATTTACATTTGTGCCAATATTTTTACAGTTGGCATTCGCTTGGCGCTCCGGGAGAACGAAAGTCTTATAGATAGCAGTTTCGTTCTAAATTTTTATTTTCGTATTCAACATGAGTGCGCTTGTACTCCCATGATACTCATTTTTCTTTCTACAACTCCCCGATTAAACATGAATTATGCGATTGCAAAATTGGGAGATCTCCTCGAATGTGCGGTAATTTTACTATTCGTTTTAATCTCAATCAACTTAAGATTTATTTTTTGTATATTTTACATTATGAACACAATTTTGTCACTTTATACATTTTCCACAGTAACTCATCGGAAGATTTTAGCAAAAGTTCATACATATCTTTGCTATTACACTTTAAACACATATCGGATTATTTCATTAGAATGTTTACCGAATTTTGTGTGAGTACATTATATGTACATAAAAGTATGTATTAATATTTGCAGAAAGTCGTTCGTTTTAATATTGACACAAATGTAGCCAGTGAACAACGTGCCAACATGAACGTCCAACTTGATTCTCAAAGATTTCACCGAACACTTAACCCTCATACAACACGGCACGTGCTCAACGAAACAACGATCACAGTTTCACATTTGCTTATCCCTCTTATCGTTCACGAGCAATCTATATACGTTAGTGACGTGAGTTTGAATCTCAATTTCAAAGCGATTCGAAGTTTTTCAATACTGTGAAAATTCGAATCACTTCGGCCACAATTCGATATCTACTTAAAATTCTTGAAAGTCTTGATAAGTCTGGAATCTTGAGTCTTGATAGGTCTTGAATCTTGGAAATTTCAATAGGTCTGGAAAATCTTGGAAGCCTTAAAACTCTTGAAAGTTCTGATAAATCTGGAATCGTGAGGTTCAATAGGTCTTGAGTTTTGTAAATTTCGATAGCTCTTGAAAGCTTGGTAAGTATTCGACACGTTACATTTGTCTATTCAATATCTTTAATATTTTATGTTAACAATACTGCTTGGACAAAGGCATTCGCAGTGTTTTCAAGGTACTGAGTACTCGACAAGTTTGCAGGTCCTATCAGAAGTTTGCAGTCTCGATATACCTCTTCGCGTACAAGAAATTAAGTTACACCAAGAACTGTGCCTTTTAAAGTACACCAATTCTTCCTAGCAACATTTTTCAACATCGCTAATATTTTCGGTAATATTCAAGTGTCACGCTTTACACGGCTCATCCCGTATTTTCACTGATGTACGCTACTAACTCTAGCTCATAAATCATAATAACACTCTCTATACGAACGTGACGAGTATCCAAACGCTTACGAACGTCCGTGTACATCGCCGACGTTCGCAAACTCGCGCAAATAAACCGGAAACGCGACGGATTCAGGCTTCGAAAAAAAAAAAAAAAGAAAGATCAGGATCAACGATCTCTCTCGCCCGGCGAGAAAACTGTTGCCCGTGTTAACGAACCCAGATTCGTTGGTACGCTGCGAAATGTAAATAGAGAAAGGTCGGTTCCCATTGGGATGTAACCGATTACACGGATATTTCGTCGCCCGTATTACACGTCCAGGTTCTACAGCATCGGTTGTAAGTGGGTGCGCGGGGGCAAGAATGAAGCGCGCGGTGCTCGTTGATTCGAAAGGAATAATCGGATTAAAGGCTGAATACTGGGAGCGCGGGGTGCAGTTCATTGTGAACATTGACTCGAGAGGGATGAAACCCACGTAGCTATGTGGAATACGGGCGGCTACGGCTCCTTTCTCCAACGACAATCGACGCCGACCCAGCTCCGAGGCCTGACCGAATTCGATTCCGTGGGGCTGCACGCCTGCCGTCGGAGAGAGAGAGAGGAAGAGAAAGAACCCGGCGTTTCGCAACCTACTGACTGTGACTGCGGATTTTTCCTTCGCGATTCATCCGAATCGTGGTCCCACGCGATCACGTCGAGTGTGATGGTATCGATGATGATGGTGGTGGCGATAGATTGGACGAAATCAGTGGTTTCGTTTTTTAGATTTCAAAAGGGAGGCTACTGTGTACGGTTCGTACGCATTTCCCCCTTTATCTTTCTTCTTCTATTGCTGCAACGATGCTTGTAAAGAGCGTCAGGGAATCGGTGGCGCGACGTGAAAGAAGATTGTAGTGTATAAAATAAGTCGAAAATGTAGCGTAATATTTTTGTACAGGAGTATTTAATGTTTGCGTAATATACGTACTGTTATTCGGAATTTCGCGTAATCTGGCCGGTAACGAAAGAATAAATATCTCGATAAAAATACTAATAAATGCTTAGTGTGGAAATGTCTACGATGAAATGCGTAGAAAATTTCGTTTTCGGGTAAATCGATATTGCAATTCTGTCGCTGAAGTGTGATAAAGGCACGATTATGCTGGCAGGAAAATGAGAGTTATTCGAAACAATTCTCAAGTAAAAGACACTTTTCTTTTATTACTCATTCCTCGTTATTTAATCATTACGTTACATTCGTATAAACATTACCTCAGGTATACAGTTACTCTCAAAAATATTCGGACACTTTGTTTTCTAGTAATACACATTGTTAGTTTCATGCATTTTCGCATACGATACTGTAATGCAAATTGATCGAAATTACGTCCAATTACCACGTTACACAAATACTCGTACACTCAGCAAACATGAATATTTTACTTGCGCCGTGTTTAATGGTTGTTTCATTAGTGTCCGAATATTTTTCGGAGTAACTGTACCTACACCAGGAGCCTACGTACCTACCTCGAAAACAGCATCTCGCGATAATGTTTCCCGATCATCCGCACGATCCTTAATTATTCCCGGGCAATCACGCCGTTATTCACGCGAGGCGGACGAAAAAGAAGACCGAAGGAACGATCAACGACAATCGGTCTTTAATTTTTACGCCGATTTTTGCGGTCCCGGTGCAAGCATGACTCTGTTCGATCGCGCGACGCCGACGTGGAAAGTGTCAATCTGTCGACGACGAGGAAAAGAATCGACCATCGAACGGCTGGATAACGGCATCCATAGATGCTATCGGTGTCTCTCCTGACTAATTATCGCGAACATTATCACCGCCGTCGCTGCGATCCAGCTGAATCATCGACGGGGACACAGCGCACGCACCTGAACTCCCCGCGGAAACGACCTGTTCCCAAGCGAATCGTGCGAATGGGAAATGACCATGGCATGTATACGCATACCACTTAAGTCTACGGACGTATAATAGTACGGATCCCACGAATTCGAAACGAGATACGCATACGGTAATGCGCTTAACCTTGTGCTCCTATTCAGCACCGCCTATGTTCCGGATTAGCGATGATCTCCTTTGTGACACGGACCACGATTAATGATAGTCTCTGAAACACTTTGTTCGAATCACTTTGAACATTATTCGATACTTGAAACTCTTGAAAGTCTTGATAGGTTTTGAG